TAGCAGCAGTGAAGCAAATGATGTGAAGTTGTTTGCCTGGTTCAGTCAGGCAGTTTCTAGGTTTACTGCCTCATATAGTACCCCTTCCCTTTTGATGTATTGCCTTTAAAGTTACATACATGCATGCATATACATAAACATGCACATGCACACTGTTTCATCCAAATATCAGTCCCATGAAAGAGGTGATTACTGTTCTCATTTTGTGGATCCGGAAAACCAAGGCACAGAGAAAAAAACTTGCTCAAGATCACAAGTTTTCAGTAGTAAATCTGGGGTTGAAGTCCAGATTTTTAGACTTAAAATCTTAATTACCAATAATCATATATTCCAGGCTACCCGTGCTTATGGAAACCTGTACTTTATTTCTTGATATGTGTATTTATTCACTGAGAAGTGAAGGCCACAGAACAAAGGTGTCCACAAATGGATTGTACTAAAAGAGAAGACCCTCTGTTGCAGTGATGACTGTATAAGGGTACTTCAAAAAGTTCATGGGAAAATTTGGCATAAAAAATGTTGAAATCTGTGTGGTTTTTTTAACTTAATTTTTTTGATAACTTATTTTTAATTTATACTACTGTCAATGGCTTAATGCCCTAGTCAACAAAGTGTTCGACAAATAAGAATTAAAAAGACCACAGTTCAGCAAGAAAATAGGCAAGGGCTGTAAACAGTAATCAGATTAAAAGATGTTCAGCTTCACTCATATAAAATAGTCACAAAATCATTAAAATGATAATAGTACAGGGACTGGCATTGTGGTGTGGCAGGTTAAACTGGCACCTGTGATGCTGGCATCCCATATGGGTACCTGTTCGTGTTCCAGCTGTTCCACTTTTTTTTTTTTTTTTGACAGGCAGAGTGGACAGTGAGAGAGAGAGACAGAGAGAAAGGTCTTCCTTTGCCGTTGGTTCACCCTCCAATGGCCGCCGCGGCCGGCGCGCTGTGGCCGGCGCACCAGCGCTGATCCGATGGCAGGAGCCAGGAGCCAGGTGCTTTTCCTGGTCTCCCATGGGGTGCAGGGCCCAAACACCTGGGCCATCCTCCACTGCACTCCCTGGCCACAGCAGAGGGCTGGCCTGGAAGAGGGGCAACCGGGACAGAATCCGGCACCCCGACCGGGACTAGAACCCCGTGTGCCGGCACCGCTAGGCGGAGGATTAGCCTAGTGAGCCGCGGCGCCGGCCTTTTTTTTTAAGATTTATTTATTTATTTGAAAGGCAGAGTCAGAGAGGGGGGGGGGGGGTCTTCCTTCCATTAGCTTACTACCCAGATGGCTGAGAGAGAGAGAGAAAGAGAGAGGTCTTCCTTCCATTAGTTTACTACCCAGATGGCTTCAATGACTGGAGCTGAACTGATCCGAAGCCAGGATCCAGGAGCTGCTTCTGGGTCTCTCCCACGGGTACAGGGGCCCAAGGACTTGGGCCATCTTCTACTGCTTTCCCAGGCTATGGCAGAGAGCTGGATTGGAAGTGGAACAGGCGGGACTCAAATAGGTGGCCATATGGGATGCCAGCACTGCAGGCAGCGGCTTTACTTGCTGTGCCACAGCGCCGACCCTGCTGTTCCACTTCTGATCCAGCTCCTTGCTAATGGCCTGGGAAAGCAGTAAAAGACGTCCCAAGTGGTTAGGCCCCTGCCATCCACATGAGAGACCCAGAAGAAGCTCCTGGCTCCTGATTTAGGCTTGGCCCAACTTTGGCTGTTGTGACCATCTGTGGAATGAACCAATAGATTTAAGTTCTCTCTCTCTTTGTCTCTCCCTGTGTCAGTAACTCTGCCTTTCAAATTAATAAACACATGTTAAAAAAAAAAAAACTATAGTAGTGTATAATTCCCATCAATTTGTTTAAAAAATATTTAAATCAAAGTTTGACAAAACATTATATTTTCAACCAAATTGATACATATAAGCATTTCTTTTATTTATTTATTTATTTACTTATTTTAATTTTGGCTTCCACATATAAGAGAATATGTAGTATCTGTATCCTGCTTATTTCATTCAACATGATATCTTCTAGTTCCAACCATTTTGCTGCAAATAATGGAATTTTGTTCTTTTTAATAGCTGAATAATCTTCCATTGTATACACACCATGTTTTCTTTATGCATCTGATGGTGGACACCTTTACTGATTCATGTTTTGGCAGTTGTCTGCTAAAAACATGGTGGTGCAGGTATTTTATACAATGTGTTCATGTCTTTGGATATATTCCTGGTAGTGGGATTGCTGCATCATATGGCAAGTCTATTTCTAATTTTTAAAGAAATATCCATACTGTTATCCCAGTGGCTGCACTAATTTACATTCCCCACCAACAGTGTATAAAAGTTCCGCTTTTTCCACATCCTCCCCAGCATTTGTTGCTGTCTGTTTTTTGGATAATTATCATTCCAACAGAGGTGGTTTTGTATTGTATTTTCCTGATGGTTAGTGATATTGAGCATTTTTTTCTTATATTTGTTAGCCAGCATAGTTTTTTCATAATATACAATTTCCATGAGATTCTTTGAAGAACCTTCATATATTCTTTGTTCAGTTATTTTATAATGAGTGTTTCACTTGTTTTCCTTTATTAGGCATAAATTTTGTAAATAGTTATTATAGTTTATTCAATAAATAAATTAGCACTAAATAACAAATTAAGGAAGATTGAAGCCATTATCATATCATAGTCTGATCAGCTAACTATAAATCTAACATGATTTTGGTAGATATGTAGCTGAGCAAACTTACATTACACAAGCATCTTAGAGAGTCATTTCTTGAGCTTTTTTTTCTTAATTAAATAACCCTCTACTCAAAAATCTGACTGAATTCTGAACTGTCACTGAATGCTCTTAAGCTTGGGCTACTATAAATATAATAAACAGATCTTATATAAAAGTATGCCATTCGGGGGCCAGCATTGTGAAATAGCAGGTTCAAGTCCCGGCTGCTCTACTTCTACCAGCTTCCTGCTAATGTGCCTGGGAAAAGCAGTGGAGAATGACCCAAGTGTTTGGGTCCCTGCACGAATGTAGGAGACATGGAAGAAATCCCTGACTGCGGGCTTCTGTCTGGCCTGGCTCCAGCCATTGTTGCCATTTGGGGAGTGAACCAGCGGGTGGAAGATCTCTGTCTCTCCCTCTTTGTAATCCTGCCTTTCAAATAAATAAATCTTTTTTTAAAAATGAAATATGTATTATGAAAAAACTGCATGACTTTCAAAAATTTTTTGCAGTTAAACATCTTTATTTTTATTTTTGACAGATAGAGATATAGACAGTGAGAGAGAGACAGAGAGAAAAGTGTTCCCTCCTCTGGTTCACTCCCCAAATGGCCACTACGGCTGGCGCTGTGCCGATCCGAAGGCAGGAGCCAGGTGCTTCCTCCTGGTCTTCCATGCGGGTGCAGGGCCCAAGCACTTGGGCCATCCTCCACTGCACTCCCGGGCCACAGCAGAGAGCTGGACTGGAAGAGGAGCAACCGGGACCAGAACCCCGTGCCCATATGGGATGCCGGTGCCGTAGGCAGAGAATTAACCAAGTGAGCCACGGCACCAGCCCCAAAAGTTAAACATCTTTTAATTCTATTTTCAATGAACTTTATTAGTACTTCATTTCTTTTTATTGTTTGGATATATTTTGTTTGAATATACCAACATTTTCTGTATTCATTTATCAGTTGATATTTAGGTTTTATTGTAGTGATTTAAAGTAAAAAAAAAAAACACTTATAATATAAAGCATCATATAAAATATAAAATGCATTTAGCATATCTTAAACATTTAACTTTGTGATCGTCTATGCCATATATATTTTTAAGATTTTATTTATTTGAGAGGTAGAGTTTCAGACAGAGAAAGACAGAAAGAGAGGCCTTTCAACCTCTGGTTCATTCCCCAAATGGCCACAGTGGCTGGAGCTGAGCTTATCTGAAACCAGGATCCCGGAGCTTCCTCTAGATCTCTCACGTTGATGCAGGGGCCCAAAAACTTGACCATCTTCCTCTGCCTTTCCAGGCCTTAGCAGAGAGCTGGATTGGAAGAGGAATAGCTGGGACATGAACGGGCACCTACATGGGATCCTGGCGCTGTAGGTGGAGGCTTAGCCTACTATGCCATGGCATCGGCCCTGCCTATATTTTTTGATTCAGTAGAACTATTTCCTTAATGAAACTGATCTGTGGTCTTAAATCTGTGTGTCAATGTTTGTGCCATCTTTGATCATATAATCAGCTTTTTCCTAATAATGTTAAAAGAACTATGAAAGAAAAAAAGATAAATTTTGAGTAGATAGTATATACGATATTAATTTATGAATTGGAATGGTATTAAACATTATAGCCTATCAGTATTTGAAGTTACTTGTACTTGATATTCTTATTGTGTGGACAAGTTAATACAAAATTTGAGTTTGGAAAGTCACTAGACTAACCATTTGGAAAAGGCTTACAACTATCTGGCTTTAAATTTTTTACCTTGTGATTGGCATTGTGGCACAACAGGCTAAGCCGCTGCCTGCAATACTGGCATCCCATATGGGCTGTTCGTGTTCTAATCCAGCTTCCTGGTAATGTGCCTACGATAGCAGCGGGAGATGTTGCAAGTTCTTGGGCTCCTGCCACCCATGTGGGAAATCTGAATGAAGCTCCTGGCTCCTGGCTTCGGCCTGGTTCAGCCTTGACCATTGCAGCCATTTGGGGAGTGAACCAGCAGATGGAAGATATTTCTCTCTCTCTCTCCCTCCCTTTCTCTCTCTCTTTAACTCTGCCCTTCAAATAAATAAAATAAATATTTTTAAAAATAAATAAGTAAATTTTGACTTTTTGTTTTATGATTTCTATGTAAATTATTCAGATTTTGAATTAAAAGAAAAAATGCATAAACAAATTATACAGATACAATGTGGGGTGTCATTACTGCCTTTATTCCTTTATTTGGTTTTATTCAGTCATAACTGCAAAACAAATATATAATATATTGCTGGATTTTATTTTTCTTCTATTAGCTCCTCAAGACTGATCTATGAAATGGCAGAGAATGGAAAAAATTGTGACCAGAGACGTGTAGCAATGAACAAAGAACAACATAATGGAAATTTCACAGGTAAAGTGTAGTGGTTTGGAGGAAGGAGATGTGCAAGTTTAAATATTACACTTTTTGTTGGAATAAAATAGGAATATATTACTTCTAATATTTTAAATATTTTATTAATATCTTCATAGTAAATTGAATTATGAGTCATGACTTATAAGATTATTTTTCACAGTGACTACAGAAGCAGCCTGAACGTAGTCAAATAGCAATTCTCTAGGCACAAGATTGTTTCTTGGTAATTATATGGTATGGTTAAATATTTACTTGATTTTGTGCAGTGCTTAATCTGATCTTGCTGTTTAGTAACTTTACAAGTAGATTATCAGTTTCCTTGTTAGCTATTCTTAAATATATAATTATCAAAAAATTAGAATAGGGGCTGATGCTGTGGTACAACAGGTAAAGCTACCAACTGCAGTGCTCCCAAAAGGGCACCGGTTCAAGTCCTGGCTGCTCCACTTTATATCTAGCTCCCTGCTAATGCGCCTGGGAAAGCAGCAGAGGGTGGCCTAAGTCCCTGGGCCCTTAGACCCACGTGAGAGTCCCAGAAGTAGCTCTTGACTCCTGGCTCCTGGCTTTGGGGAGTGAACCAGTGGATAGAAGATCTTTCTTTCTCTGTTCTCCCTCTCTCTCTAACTCTTTCAGAGTTCCCTTTTATTTATAAATAATATCCTGTTTATAAATAAAATTCTGTTTATCCTTTCAGATAAATAAGTCTTTAAAAAATGAGAATAAATTTAGATTTTTTTAAAATTTTTAGTTTAACATTTTAAACAAATTGGACATTGTGCTTAAATTTCAGTATATATGACTCATAGCCGTACATTTGTCCTGAAAATCATGACTTTTGTTGATATGGGTGAATTAAGTAAGGACTTTCCTTCTTGATTTTAAAGGAAAATGAAAGGTTTTTCTTTTCTGGTTTTTGTACTATTTTTTTTAAAGATTTATTTATTTGAAAGGCAGAGTTAGAGAAAGAGGAGACAAAGGAAGAGAGATCTTCCATCCCTGGTTCACTCCCCAAATGGCTGCAATGGATAAAGCTGGGCCAATCCAAAGCCAGGAGCCAGAAGTTTCTTTCAGGTATCATGTGTGTACAGGGGCCCAAGTACTTGGACCATCTTCCACTGCTTTCCCAGGCGCATTAGCAGGGAGCCGAATCAGAAATGGAATGGCTAGGACTTGAACTGGTGCCCATATAGGATGACAGCACTGTAGGCGATGGCTTTACTCCCTATACCACGGCACTAGCCCATTTTTCTTTTTGACTTCGCAATTCTTTGACATCTCAAACACATTGCAAAGAATACTGTCGCATGGTGTATGCCCATTCTTAGGGCCCAGGACAAGCAGATCCAGATTCCAGCCGATGAGAGAACAGCTCTTCTCTGTGGATTTATATCTCCTTTACTCACAGTGAGTTTTGTGGATTTATATCTCCTTTACTCACAGTGACAGAAATGCACAAGAAACAGCCACTTGTCCCCGAAGGTGTTGAGGTTGCTGGAGATACCCACTCATGTGTCTGTAGTGGCAGTCGGACACATACACAGGGGTGTCTACATATATCTGCACATAGGCACATACAACCACACGTCCACATACAACTGCATCCACCTAAAGCCACAATCTAGCAAAATTACAGACAGTAGTGGCCAGAGCAAAACCATTGCATGCCAGGGCTTTGAGCAGCTAGCTGTGCAGGCGGACCTTCGGTTCCTGTGACGCTGATTACTGTGGAGAGAGGTGTGGGAGAGCACAGAGATAAGGGGGCAAGGGCAAAAGACATGGGGATTTGAGAACTTCACCTTCTGAAGTTCATCTCTTCATCACATGGTAATATATTACAGAACTTCTTTTATTGGAATAAATGCAGGCTGTCTAAAACAATACTTTCTACTTATTTTTTTTCTCTTTCATTTTTATTTATGTATTTGAAAGGCAGAGAATCAGAGACAATAATTGATTTCCTACATGCTGGTGCATTCCTCAGATGTCTTCTATAGCCGGGGTTGGACCAGGCCGAAGCCAGGAGCTCAGAACTCAGTCTGTCTTGTCCACGTGGGTGGCAGGGACTGAAGTATCTGTACCATCACCTGTTGCATCTGGGGTGCTGGAATGGAGTGCAAAACTGGGAATCAAACCCAGGAGTTCTGATATTGGCTCCCGTTTGTTTTGAAAACACATTTTGCAGCACTGATCTGTTGGATTACTTTGATTTCAGTAAATTTTGCATCATTCCATCAAAAGTTTCCAAATTCAGATATTGATATTGTATGCTTTATAGTCTCTTTCCATTAAGAGCTTATGTGCTGGGGCTGGTGTTGTGGCATAGCAGGTTAAACTGCAGCCTGTGATGCCAACATCCCATATGTTAATGGGCACAGGTTCATGTCCTGGCTGCTCCACTTCTGATTCAGCTCCCTGCTAATGGCCTGGAAAAAGCAGCAGCAGAAGACCCAAGTGCTTGGGCCCCTTCTACCCAGGTGGGAGACCCAGAAGTTCCTGGCTCCTGGCTTCTGCCTGGTCTAGCCCTGGCTCTTGTGGCCATGTGGGGTGTGAAGCGGTAGATGGAAGATCTCTCTCTCTCTCTCTCTCTCTCTCTCTCTGTTTCTCCCTCTTTTTGTGTAACTCTGACTTTCAAATAAATAAATCTTTAAAAAAAATTAAAGCTTATGTGCTGTTTTTTCAACAAGCAAATAAATTTATATATATTTTACTATATTTCTGAATACCATTGGAATTTAAAATTAATGTTGATGTGTCATAGTCTTTTGGACCATGTATTTTTTTTACTTAATATTTGTTAGATATTGTGCTACAACTATATACAAGGAATTTTATTTGTTGTGGTTTAGTATTCCATTCCATTGTGTGAGTATACTATATGCTTGTGTTCCTTTTCTGTCTATTAGTAGTAATATTTAAGTTGTTGATAATCTTTGGCTACTGTAAATGTTGTTACAGTAAATTTTTAAAAATCATTTCATCTTGTACCTAATTACTCCCAGAAAAGGAATTGTTGGGTTACAGTGTACATGGATCTGTAATTTTTAGATTGAAGACAATAATAACTAACTTTGATTGGGCAGTTACTAAGTGTCACACTCTGATAACTTTATGTGCATCAGCTCATCTAATCCTTACAATGATTTTGACAAATAAGTACTATTATTATCTACATTTTACAGAAGAGTAAACTAAGATACAAAAATATTAGCCAATTTGCCGGAGGTCATGTGACTGGTAGATAGCTGAGCCAGAATTTGAAACAAAGTGGCTTGCACTTCATATTTTTTTTCCCAAAGATTGATTGATTGATTTGAAAGTCAGAATTACAGAGACAGAGGGGGAGAGAAAGAGGAAAGAAAAAGAGAAATCTTCCATCCGCTGGTTCACTCCCCAGATGACCGCAGCAGCCAGAGCTAAGACAGGTCAAAGCCAGGAGCCAGGAGCGTCGTCCGGGTCTCCCACATGGGTGGCAGGGGCCCAAGCACCTGTGCCATCCTCGATGCCTTCCCAAGCACACCACAGGGAGCTGGATTGGAAGTAGAGCAGCCAGGACATGAACTGGTACCCAGGGGTTGCCAGCATTATAGCAGGGACTTTACCCACCACACCACAACACCAGCCCCTACTCTCCACACTTTGACATCTAAACCACTTTGCTCTGTGATGTGATGCTTGATTGACACATTACCCTTCATAAAAGGTAGAATGATTTAGCCTTTCTCCGGTAATATACAAGGATAGAAGCTTGTGTTCTGACTGCAAAAGAATGTTAAAATTAGGGCAGGAGCACCTAGACCAGATTTGTCATTTTTCCCTAATCTATGTTTCTGTTAAATTCAACCACTGAAATTTTTAGTACCATTTCTTTTTTTTTTTTTTTTTTTTGACAGGCAGAGTGGATAGTGAGAAAGAGACAGAGAGAAAGGTCTTCCTTGCCGTTGGTTCACCCTCCAATGGCTGCCACGGCTGGCGCGCTGCAGCCAGCACACCGCGCTGATCCAAAGGCAGGAGCCAGGTGCTTCTCCTGGTCTCCCATGGGGTGCAGGGCCCAAGTACTTGGGCCATCCTCCACTGCACTCCCGGGCCACAGCAGAGAGCTGGCCTGGAAGAGGGGCAACCGGGACAGAATCTGGCGCCCCGACCGGGACTAGAGCCTGGTGTGCCGTCACCGCTAGGTGGAGGTTTAGCCTATTGAGCCGCGGCGCTGGCCAGTACCATTTCTTTAAGATGCCTCAATGTGTTTTAGCTCAGTGAGTGGCAAAGGGTAGGCTTTTTTTTTTTTTCCTCTTTTGCCTCAGTTCTCTAGGTAACACCGTTATAAAATGATCTCTTTTCTAAATCACTAGATGTGCTGGATGTAGCAGAGTCTGGACTAGTGATCATTTTTTAAGACTTTAGGATTCTGTTAATGCTTAAGAGGAACAATGGTAAAATTCTGTTTAAGGACTCAGATTTTGTCTCATCTCTCTCCATACTGTTTAAAAGAATACTGTGCAAGACTGCTACTGATGTGAAGGGAAGAGATAGTCAAATATACAGATAAATGAAGTGAGGTTGAGGCTTAAGTTGTGAGGACCTACCACAATCCTTGACTTAGTGTTACAGGTTGCAAACACGTTTGTAATAGGCCACCTATGTTAATTAGTGTTTTGTTCCAGTGATTGCCTTCTCCAGAGAAGGTGTAGTCATGGGTTAGTACTTGAACAGCTTGTGTATAAACCCGTGTAACCCAGGAATGAATCACATTGTTGGTACTTTTGAGGTTTATATGCAGTCTTTCAGATGTAGAATGGGAAGGTAGGTGAATTTTTAAAGTGATTGGAAAGAGTGAGTATAAGTACTAGGAATTCTGTTTTAATTCCTGCATTATTGTTTTTCAGACCCCTCTTCAGTGAATGAAAAGAAGAGGAGGGATCGGGAAGAAAGGCAAAATATTGTCCTTTGGAGACAGCCACTTATTACCTTGCAGTATTTTTCTCTGGAAATCCTTGTAATCTTGAAGGAGTGGACCTCAAAGTAAAAAACCTTCCATTACCTTTTATATAAACCTTATTTTCTAATTTTAGAAATCCTCAGCAGTCTCCTACTCCTTGCCATCTGCTGCATTCAAAATGGAGTCATTAAATTTAGAATATTGTCATAAGAGCATATTCATTCTCCTTTGTATAGTTGAAAATCATAGATTAGGGAAACATGGCTGTTTGCTTACTTGATTATTAGAGTTGTTCACATATTGAATTTTGTTTTTGTTTTTCTCCTGGTTTTTCCCTCAGGAAAAATCCGGCCTTATCTGTATTAAATACTTTGATTCCTTAACAGGACAAGGTTCAGGATACGTGGCACTCTTACCAGTTGTTTGAACGAATGTGAACGGTTCTGCCTTAGAAATGTGTTCTATCTTTAAATTACTATTTATACATCCGTTTCAAAGATCATAAAGAACAAGCCTAACCTTTACACGTCTTATCAGTCTTCTTACTTGCCCCTCCAAGTTATTTTATATATGTTACATTTTTATTGCACATGGAGTTCATAAAGCGTTTTATAGTATTTCCCAGCTCATTTACTCCTTATAACATCTCCATAAAGAAAGTAAAACAAAGATAAAATTACTATGATTTTAAAAACAAGGAACAGTCATATTGGTTAAGTGTCTTGCTCAAAGTACAGCACCCAGGGTTTCTGACTTAAAGACCAGGGCTCTTTCTATTAAACTTTTTTTTTTTTTTTTTTTTTGGACAGGCAGAGTGGACAGTGAGAGAGAGAGACAGAGAGAAAGGTCTTCCTTTTGCCGTTGGTTCACCCTCCAATGGCCGCTGTGGCTGGCACGCTGCGGCCGGCGCACTGCGCTGATCTGATGGCAGGAGCCAGGTACTTCTCCTGGTCTCCCATGGGGTGCAGGGCCCAAGCACTTGGGCCATCCTCCACTGCACTCCCTGGCCACTGCAGAGAGCTGGCCTGGAAGAGGGGCAACCGGGACAGAATCTGGCGCCCCGACTGGGACTAGAACCCGGTGTGCCGTCGCCGCTAGGCGGAGGATTAGCCTATTGAGCCGCGGCGCCAGCCTTCTATTAAACTTTAATACTTCTCCTAATTAGAAGCTGAGATATAAACAAAATCGGGCTTTAGATAAGGGAAAGACTATGATGGAGTTTATGGTAAAAAATTGGGTTCTATGCCCATGTGTCTGTGACCCCCTCCTGCATTCAATAGAGGCAGTGGTGTTTTAAGAACAAAAGAACTCAACTCAGAAAGACTGATTCTGTCCTGAGCTAGCCAGATAACCTGACTGCTTCTATAAGAAATTGTTCTAAGGATGATAAATCTTCAAAGTGAGACTGTGAGATGTATTTTTAATTTTTTTAATTTGTTTTTAAGATTATGGCATCGTCAAAGCATTGTGGTGTCTTTTTTACTGCTGCTTGCTGTACTTATAGCTACGTATTATGTTGAAGGAGCACATCAACAGGTAAGAGGTTCAGCAGTTCTTGCACACTCTCTAATCCCAAACAATTTCAAAATGGGACCATGAAAGTTTCATAGAATTTCTACCCTCAACATTTTTAGGTTTGTCTTTCTTTTATCTCATAGCTGGTACCTTTATGTAAGGCCATACGCTAAAACAATTCATGTGTCTCCTCATGGCCAGTCAGCAAAATGTTGTTATATATGATTCTTTTTGCCCTTGAAGATTTAAATGTACATTTCCTAACCATGTTCCATCCATCCAACAACATGAGTCCTTTATGCCAAAGTTTTCATATTTTCTGTAACATATTTTTGTGATCATCTAAACAGGCTTCGTCCAAAGTTAAGGATTAGGTTTTATTTATATAAAAAGGTTATTTGCCTATAGTCCACAAGTACAACATTACTGATAGGAATACAAGATACTTGTTTAACAACTTTTGTCAAAATAGCAAAACCTTCGTGTATTCTAAGAGGTAATGGTTCTAAAACTGTCATCTCATATTGTAAAGCAGTTTACCTCTAATCAGAGAAGTTTTTATAGTTAAATGCATTCCTTTTAAATAATCTATGTATACTGGGGCTGGTGCTGTGGTGTAGCGGGTAAAGCCACCGCGTGCAGTGCCAGCATCCTGTATGAGCGCCAGTTCAAGTCCCAGCTGCTCTACTTCTGATCCGGCTCTCTGCTATGGCCTGGGAAAGCAGTAGAAGATGGCCCAAGTCTTTGGACCCCTGTACCCGCGTGAGAGACCCATAAGAAACTCCTAGCTCCTGGCTTCAGATCGGTGCAGCTCTGTCCGTTGCGGCCATCTGGGGAATGAACCAGCAGATGGAAGACCTCTCTCTCTGCCTCTCCTTCTCTCTCTGTGTAACTCTGACTTTCAAGTAAATAAATAAATCTTTTTTAAAAAAATGATCTATGTATTCTAAGAGTTTGCAGTGAACTAGCATGCTGGTTTTACTTGCAAACATTTGAGGAATTTCTCTAGAAATAAGTCTAGAATTCTAACAAGTCTGTCTTCCAGTAGAATTAAGTGAAAAGCATCATGGTCTAAAATATACAGACATTATTTTATTCCCATTTTTTCTTGGATAATCAATATTTTACTCTGTTCACAAATGTTACATATAAACTGCCCCCTTTTAATTGGTCTGCATTATCCTGTCTTAAAATTTGCTTTTTTCCTATGTCTCCTTTTTTTTAAAGATTTATTTATTATTTATTTGAAAGTCAGAGTTACAAAGAGAGGGTTGGGGAGAAATAGGGAGAGAGGGATAAGTGAGAGAGAGAGGGACATTCCATCTGCTGTTCACTCCCCAGATGGCCACAATGGCCAGGGCTGGGCCAGGCCGAATCCAGAAGCCATGAGTTTCATCCAGGTCTCCCGCTTGGGTGGCTGGGGCCCAACCACTTGGGCCATCTTCCTCTGCTTTTCCCAGACTGTTAGCGAGGAGCAGGTTTGGAAGTGGAATGGCCATGACATGAACTGGTGCTTCTGTGAGATGCCAGCATTGCATGTGGCAGCAGCTTTACCCACTACCCCACAATGCCGTTCCCATCTTCCTATGTCTTCTAAATAGAAAAGACTTCAAAGGTTTAGGAACAAGAAGTTTTTTCCAGTTAGATAAAGTTGTTCCCACTTCTACTATCACTTGAAGATATTAGACCTCTTCAAGGAGTATTTACTTTAAAAAAAAAAAAAAGATTTATTTATTTATTTGAAAGAGTTACACAGAGAGAGAGAAGGAGAGGCAGAGAGAGAAAGAGATCTTCCATCTGCTGATTCGCTCCCCAGTTCGCTGCAACGGCTGGAGCTATGCTGATCCGAAGCCAGGAGCTAGGAGCTTCCTTGGGGTCTCCCACGTGGGCACAGGGGCCCAAGCACTTGGGCCATCTTCTACTGCTTTCCCAGGCCATAGCAAAGAGATGGATCAGAAGTGGAACAGCCGGGACTGGAACCAGCGCCCATATGGGATGCCAGCACTGCAAGCAGCGGCTTTACCTGCTATGCCACAGTGCCAGCCCCCGAGTATTTATTTTTAATACTTTGTTTTTATTAAGAGCTATTTTAGTTGATTTGTTTTATTTTGCTGGTGGTTTATAAATACCTCCTTTCTGTAATGAGAATTCAGAAGTATTATCTCATCTCTTTTGTCTTTCAGTATGTGCAACGTATAGAGAAACAGTTTCTCTTGTATGCCTACTGGATAGGCTTGGGGATTTTGTCTTCTGTTGGGCTTGGAACAGGGCTGCACACCTTTCTGCTTTATCTGGTAAGAATAACTTTCTTATAACAAGCAAACATGAAAGAGATTTTCTGCTTCCTTATTGGTGCTTTTAAATCAAAAGTTAAAATTCGAAGATTTGTATTTAATTACATTTCTGTTTTGTAAGCACACTGATCTTTAATAGAAGCTGTAAGTTTCACTCAGAATTTTGTTTTGCTTTTCATTTTGGGATTGAGGATTTAAGAAAAGAGGGAGGAAAAATAGTTCAGCAAGTAAAGTTATTTATTTATGTTAATCCAGCCAGGAAGTTTTTCCTCTTAGATTTTAGAATATTGATTCCCTTGTTGAGGCAGTTCTGATTTTAATCATTTAATTTACATTTTTAAAAAATGTATTTGTTTGAAAGATGGGAACAGAGCTCCCATCTGCTGGTTCACTGCTTAAATGCCTGCAAAGGCTGGGGCTGTTCCAGCTCGAAACCAGGAGCCGGGGACTCCATCCATGTTTTCCACATGGGTGACAGGGACCCAGCCACCTGCTGTCTACCACAGTTCGTGAACAAGGAGCTAGAATCAGAAATAGAGCATGGACTCTAACCCAGGCACTCTGATAGGAGATGCAGGCATTTCAGCCAGTATCCTAACTGCTAGGCTGAATACCTAACCCTAAGATACTTCAAATGAACAAAATTCCATATAAGACTTCAAGGGAGTTTGGGCAGTTTGCTTTTTCTGATGATGAGCAACAGAGAATACTGTCTTCCCTCACATTCTTAAAGACCACATACATACTTCAGTAGTATTTTGGTTCTTTTATTTATTTAATGTAATTGATGAAGCATTATATGCATGGAACTATATGCTTTCTTAAACACTTTGAACCAAAGTTTTTAAAATACCTTTTCTGAGAAATACACTTGTATTAGTTGAAATGAGAGAGAACACAGATAAGCTTCCCTGTGAATACTCGCAAAAATGCTGACATAATATCAGAACCAGGATGTGAGAAAGGCAAGCCAGACACCTACAGCACAAAATCTGAATAGGCACTATCTCAGAGCCATGCACAGTACAGGCCTGTGGAGTGAGTGCCGCAGTAAATTTTATGTCCTAGATGTCTTGCTTATTTCACTGTGTTCCCTTCCTGAATAATAACTTGTAAACAATTCCATTTTGACAACAGTTTGATTATCATTGGGGAAAAGCAGATGAAAAGATGTCACAGTAATACTGATTGCTGAATAAAACTTAGCCCTGTAAATACTTGCAATCTCTATTCTATAATGAATTCATTTCTGAAGCAGGTATGATATTAAGGAATAATTGCTTGGTTCAATGTGTGCTAAGTTGATGGCTTGAAGAATGCTTTTGGAATAATCTGCAATACATAATTTCTGCAAGCTTATGGAAAGTTAAAGCTTGAGAAATTTTAAAAGGATGCCCTTGTTTGAATGTTGACTGACTCAAATAGGACATAAGTCCTAGGGAACTAACTCATATCATTGCTTCTCTAGTAACTACTACATTCTTAATTTTAAAAAGTTATATGTGTGTATATGTTTGTTTATTTATTTATTTGGGAGACAGAAAGAAAGCTCCTACCTGCTGGTTTACTCCCCAGATGCCTGCAACAACCAAGGCAGGGCCAGGGTTGAAACCAAGAGCCAGAAACTCAGTGCCAGAGCCGTCACCGCTGCCTTCCAACTTCTGCGTTAGCAGGAAGTAAGAGTCAGTGGCCAGAGCCAGTAGTCAAACCTGAGTAGACCAAAAGGGGACACAGTTTTCTTAACTGCTAAGCTAAACACTTTTTTGTATTTATTTATTTATTTGAAATACAGAGAAATAACCTCCCTTAAATTGCATAAGAATTTAGGATTAAAAAATTTGAAACCTGGAATATTCATGCTTTATATTTTGCTCATGTTGCTAGAAAACTTACTAACATGACATTTATAAAATGTCTTCAGGCAAAAGCATTATTATTCTAATTTACTCATCCAGGTATCCAGTAAAGGATTAAGATACATACAAATAAGAGTTTATTATGAAATCAAGACTCTGTTTCCATATAGTAAGCAGTTATTTCTGGCCTATATCAGAGCATAGGATTAATAGAATGTGTTTAAACCTTTTACAATTTTATTTTTATTTTATTTTATTTTTTTATTCACAATTTTAGAAAATAAAGAGGTACTTGAGGGAAGGTGTCTTTGTCTTTCATTGTACTCACTGCTGTAGCTATTATAGTAGTCCAACAAGTATGAAGAAATGATCAAGAAACTTCTGAAATGGTATTATAAGAATGGTATTGCTTCTATATGAATCTTTCTCCAGTTATGTATGTAAATTATTTTTTAAAGTTTTTTTTTTTTTTCAAGATTTGTTTATTTGAGAGGCAGAGTTAAAGAGAGAGGGAAAGACAGAGACAAAGGTCCTCTATCTGCTACTTCATTCCCCAAATGGCTGCAACAGCTGGAGCTGGAGTGATCCAAAGCCAGGAGCCAGGAGCTTCTTCGAGGTCTTCCCACCTGGGTGCAGGGGCCCAAGGACTTGGGCCATCCTCCACTACTTTCCCAGGCTATTAGCAGGAAGCTAGATCAGAAATGGAACAGCCAGGACCGGAACCCACTCCCATATGGGATGATAGCACTGCAGATGGAGGCTTAACATACCACACCATAGTGCTGCCCCATGTAAATTATTATTATATGTTAAATTTATATTCAAAATCATTGTGACATTATTACTTCTGTTAATAAACTGAGATCCAGGGTGCATCAGGGAACTTTTATCAACATTATGTAAGCCTGAATTTTTATATTGTTCTTTGGTGAGTAGCATTTGGAATTCTTTGAAATGCCCTAAAATTAGAAGTGTATAAAATAGTGTAAAATAATTTATGAGTATATAATTTTGACTGTAATGTAGGAGAGTGATTGAAGTTGGGAGAGAAGAGCTACATGGAGGTGACAGGAGGAATGGAGAAGATAGTGTTTATAAAAAAACTTACATAGAGAACCCAAACAAAATGAAGGCAAAAGAAGGCATAGGTCTTTGATGTTTCAAGAAGTGCTTGGAGTAGCAGTGGCCATTGAATAAGATAGGACAAATCTGATAGGGAAATCTTTTAAAAATATTTATTTATTTATTTGAAAGGTAGAATTACAGAGAGAGAGGGAGTGACAAAGAGATCTTCCATCTGCTGGTTCACTCCCAAATGACCACAACAGTCAGGGCTGAGCCAGAACAAAGCCAGGAGCCAGGAACTTCATCCAGATCTCTGATGTGGGTTTCCGGGGTACAAGTACTTGGACCATCATTTGCTGCTTTTCCATATGCACTGGCAGGGACCTAGATCACAAGTGGAGCAGCCACGACCCAAACCCACGCTCATATGGGATGCTAGCATTGTAGGCAGCGGCTGTCATGACCTGCTGTGCCACAATGCCAGCCCCGAGAGAAATTTCTAAGATAAAATTAAAAGGATGTGATGCATTAGAACTGGGGAAGAAGCAGTCAAAGATAACTTGGTTTTTGACTTAAGTAACTGTGTAGATGTTGATGCAGCTAACTGAACAGAGACAGATGTTCACTTGTTCACAATCATGTTATAAGTCTCTGAAAAGAGACACTTAAAGGGATACTGCAATTATTCTGCAAGGTAGATAAGAGCTTCACCTTTATCTAGGTGGGTTGCTGGTACCATTAGTGGGGCGGGAAAAAGAAAAGACAAGTTTGTAAAGGACTAAGAACACATTGTAAAAGTTAAAAGGGGGCCGGCGATGTGGCTTAGCGGGTAAAGCCGGCACCTGCAGTGCTGGCATCCCATATGGGCACCAGTTCAAATCCCTGCTGTTCCACTTCTGATCCAGCTCTCTGTTATGGCCTGGGAAAGCAGTGGAAGATGGCCCAAGTTCTTGTGCCCCTGCACCCATGTGGGAGACCCGAAGAAGCTCTAGGCTTCAGATCAGCAGAGCTCCAGGCTTTGCAGCCATCTGGGGAATGAACCAGTGGATGGAAGACCTCTCTCTCTCTCTTTCTCTCTCTCTCTCTCTGCCTTTCAGATAAATAAATAAATATTTTTTTTAAAAAAAGTTAATAGGCATTATTTCTTTTATAAAAATTTATTTACTGGGGCCGGTGCTGTGGCATAGCGGGTTAATGCCCTGGCCTGAAGCACAAGCATCCCATATGGGCTCCAGTTCGAGACCTGGCTGCTCCACTTCCGATCCAGCTCTCTGTTATGGCCTGGGAAAGCAGTAGATGATGGCCCAAGTCCTTGGGCCCCTGCACCCGCGTGGGAGACCCAGAAGATGCTCCTGGCTCCTGGCTTCAGATCAGTGCAGCTCCAGCCATTGTGGCCAATTGAGGAGTGAATCACTGGATGGCAGATTGATCTCTCTCTCTTTCCCTTTCTCTTTCTGTGTGTTTGTGTGTAACTCTGACTTTCAAATAAATAAATCTTTAAAAAATTTATTTATTTATTTGAAAGACAGAATTAAGGTGAGAGAGGGAGAGATAGAAAGAGTTTCCATCAGCTGGCTTACTCCCCAGGTGACCACAACAGCCAGGACTGGGTCAGGCTGAAGCCAGGAACCAGAAACTTATTCCAGGTCTCCCATATGGGTACAGGGACCCAACCACTTGGGCCATCCTCCACTGCTTTCCCAGGCCATTAGCAGGGAGCTGGATTGGAAGTGGAGCAGCTGGGACACGAACCGGCACCCATGTGGGATGCTGGCATTGCAGGCAATGGCTTTACCTACTATGCCACAATGCTGACCCCGGTAGACATCATTTTTTAGAATGGTTTTAGATTTATTGGGCTGGCGCCGTGGCTCACTAGGCTAATCCTCCGCCTTGCGGCGCCGGCACACCGGGTTCTAGTCCTGGTCGGGGCGCCGGATTCTGTCCCGGTTGCCCCTCTTCCAGGCCAGCTCTCTGCTATGGCCAGGGAGTGCAGTGGAGGATGGCCCAGGTGCTTGGGCCCTGCACCCCATGGGAGACCAGGATAAGTTGAGCTAAAAGGACTGAGTTCCCATGTAA